AGAGAAGAAACACCTAGCCGTTCTCGTCCCAACAACCCTTCGCTTCTCTTAGTCTTAGTCATGATCAGGTGGTCCGCGAACCACCTAAATAATTAACAATTATTCCCGAGTGCGCGTGGGATATGAGATGGCAGATAACCAACGAGGTGCATAGCGCCGCGTTGGCTATAATCAGCTCTTATCCAACAAGCGTGAGTGGAATAATTGTTGTTGTTAAAAACGCCCCAGAAATAGAGAAAAACTGAAACAAAAATAGAAACGCCCTAAAACATCACACGTACCCTTACCATATTTGTAGGGCATGATACAATGGCTCAAAACCCTTAGCCATCATGATATGATGGCTAAGCTAATGAAAACTCTCGAATCCATTATCCATTGATCCAGTTTTTAATAAATATTAATTTTCCACGATAGCCTGGAGTAGTTCTCCAAACTTTACCGAATGCAAAACACGATTCAAAGTCTGACCCGGGTTGTTCGAAAGGTGGATAACGCTATCTTATCCAGTGGATTGCGTGGTTTGTTTTGTTATTACTTATCCCCTGGATAGCGATTTATCCGGTGGATAGCGTTATCCAGCCTTTGAACAACTGGGGTCTGGATTCAAGTTAAGATTTCTAGATGTCACATTCTTACCCAAGCTATAACTCGCTGTACCCATTGCAAATTGAGAAAACTTAAAACGAGAACAAAACAAAAGTTCCTAAAATCAATTGCCTTTTATTACTGTTTACAAATAACTACCCTAATGTATATTACAATTCTCTCCACACTGTTTGTCTCTATTTGAAGTAACAGCACTTACTTGCAAACATGATATTTTTGCATAATTATCTATCATCTCAGATACTCCCTTTTTTTTCAGCTTTGCGCACTTTTTACACTACAGTAGATCTGCGCATGCCCCGAGTTGTACGGCCGCCTCTCTGTTGCACAAAGTACAGTGTAGCGTTGCGTGACAGAGAGAGGGCCAGAACTACGCGGAACGCGTGACTAGAAAATATCGCTTATCGCAAGTGAAAACTAAGTTCAATATTTCAGTTTTATTCTTAACAAAAATTTCAAATATAGTACTTTTACAGCACGATAATCTGTGTGGACCAAGACATATTTACTAGGTCAAGATATATGTAAAAAACAAAAAAAAAAACTAGGCTTAATTGTACAAGATGCGCTATGCAAAACATGGTTCTATCACCGAAACTCAAAAATGGTTGCACCAAACATAAACTTTTAGCACAGGCAAACTTTTGGGTGCAAAAGAAAGGAATTTACTGCTGTTTAATTCTCTTGAGTTAACAACCATGCGTGATGGGTATCTTAGATCTCGAAGGGAGGCTACAGTGAAAAAGAGATTCACATTGTTGTCTTGGTGAGGGACAGGTTGGCGGAGTGAGGTCTTCTTTATCCCTCTCTTCCCAGTCTTTCGTCAGTCATGATGTTGTCTGGCAAAGATCACTCCGCGTTCAAGTCTTTGCGCGCAGCCATGTTCGCCAAACGGAATGAAATCACAAAGGGGACCACAGTCTCTACTGAATATTTTTCACTTTCTGACGAGGATGCCCTTCTCGTAAAGCAACGTGACCAGGTCAATCTGAAGAAATAAAATAAGCAAAACCGGGAACAGTAACAGCAAAATTCAATCTTCACCTGAAAACAACCGCATTTAAGTAAGCTATAAGAGAACACCGCAGAGACAAAAAGTGAAGATGGTTTACTTTGTAAGTGATGTCATCGTGAGGTAGGTCTTTCACTTTAATATAATCCGGAAAACTTCTCAAGATACTCTCCACTACCGGTCCAGCCTGAAAAATAATAGTGCAAAAGATGATTTCAAATCCTGAAGCTTGGAAAAGATAGCATGCCACTATAGCGATTTTTTTGGAGTCACTGACACAGGGGAACATATGCAAATATTTGAAGGTATTTTCTATTAAATAAAGAGAAGCAATTCTTTAATGCAATTATTTGGTGTTGACAGATATTGCAAAGCAGGCACCCTAAAATTCCTTCAAAGTGTGGAAGTAGCAGGCAGCTTTTCAATTCACCAGCCCACAGTTTTCAGGGTAGCTGTTGCTTAGCAACATCCTTCCTCACGTGACAACTTTCGGGACTGGCTGGGCTTCCTCTGATTGGCTAGCATGAAAACCATTCGGACCCACAGGAAGAGCACGCGTGTATTTCCCGCCAAAACTACCGCTGTCAGAAGCAAGTATCAATCTCATGTCCAAGACCTACTTTGAAGCCAAATTGACAGAGACCATAAACACAATCATACTCAGTTGTTTTCAACTTTGTCCGTTGAACATGTACGGACACTTTGTAATGTTATCCCCTTGCTCTCTTCTGCAGTTTTGAGCATCGACTCGTTTTTTAGTTAGCGCTGTTCCTAGCATGTCCTTACAAACATCTTGGACGTTGCAAGTTCTTGAAAGATCCAACAAAATGAAAAAACCTACACGGGATTTGGGTCAAGTTACGTTTGACCACTACCGGGTAGTTCTGTAACGCAACAAAACGAAAAGACGGGTAATTGAAGACCTGAGGTTAATTTAACAGATAGCAAGTATCATAAGTATCAGATGATTTCTCTGTACGGTGACCTAAAATTTCATTGAGTTGCGTAGCGTTGCGTTGCGTTGCGTCACGTTGCGTTAAGTTAAGTTAAGTCTGACCACTACCAGGTACTTCAACGACGAGGGAAGTCGTGAAAAACACGCGACAACACACAACAAACTACACCAACAGATTCTTGACAAGTCAGCAAACAACCTTACCTCTAACCCGAACTCCACACTGTCTAAATCTTTCTCGTGATAGACTCGGGAATTCTCCAGGGTGTGATAAACAGTTATTACTTCACCTTCGACCACTAGCCTGCAATTAAACAAAAATTCAGGCTACAATTATCGAGGGATGGCGTCCAGTATCCCTGACCAACCGGACCCTTGACGGAAAACAACATTGTGCATTTGAGGTGTGCACTGTACAAACTCCGAGACTGGAAGAATCACGCTTTCCCCGTCCAGAGAAACGTTCTTACCTTGCTACTCCCTTGCGAATCAGTCTAACTTCTGTGTCTTCACCAATAGTAACCTTGTCAGAGATTTGTCCATCCTTCCACGATGAATTGTCTCCAAAAACACTTTTCCTTGCTTCTCCTACAACAAAATTTTACATCTCTGACTCACTTATCTGAATCTGCAAAGCACCCATAAATCAACCTCAAATTTTGGGGAAAAAAACATAGTTGGCTGAAAACGCTTGCTGCAATTTACAAAAGAAAACGAAATAAAGGTTATTTATTAGGATACGAATATCTACTAGTTCTCGCGCGGGATACATATGTTGAGGAAACTAATTTCGCTGCTCCGGGACAAGAAAATTTCATATCCTTGTTGTGTTGCGTTGCGTTGCGTTGCGTTGCGTTGCGTTGCGTTGCGTTGCGTCACGTTACGTTGTTATTATCATGAGTCCACTCACCTTCTGTTAGTACTGGAGGCAAACAATCACGGAGAACGCCCACGGCCAACTACACGTCACGAAAAACAAAAACGTGAAAAAGGACAAAGTACATTGTACTCTAAATTAACTGGGATCGTTTTTAAAGGAATATCAAAAAGGTCAAATTACTATGATAAGGACAAGTTCTGGAGTTAATATAAACGAAACTGAGATAAACTTTAACTTTGAGGGAAAATATAGCTTTCTTGCAGTTAGAAAGTGAGGAAAGAGGGCTCCTTCTAATCTTGATGTGGAAGGCACAGTATACGTCACAAAAAAACACTGCCCCATAAACCTATTATTTTCATTAATTTTCTCGTTATTTTGTCCTTTTGTTCCCTATGGTGTTATCTCAGCTGTGTCTTCTACACCAAGTAAGAGCCGGAAAGAGTTTATCACGCTACAAATTAGTTAAAACACTTTTAAAAGGTGTCAAAAGTGAATCAAATTTTGCTCAGATAGTTTTCGGAAAGAAAGGTACGTTGTCACGGTAACAATTTCTGTAACACATTCTACCTGGTCTGCAGCTGCATCAACAGGAGCATGCGAAACTAATTTCATCATCAGGTTTTCAACCTTCTTCAGGAACTCGGACCTCTCTTTGGTGTTCTACCGTAAGAAACAAAGGTAACGTCAAAATTGCCAGGTATATTAGGGAGTTTATTAAGAAAACCACGACGGCAACGGCAACGGGCACGTGGCTAACCAAAGGTTTAATGAGCAGAACAATGGCTGTGCACGTGCGTTATAATTCTTGGTACATTTCTTTGCCGTCCTCTGCAAGACAACAACGTGAAATGACCAAATTCTGCGTTGACTGAAGAACGTGAACCACGACGGCTATTTTTAAAATTTGTATTTCAAATTTATCGCTGTGTCCTTTACTTACTGTGCTTCGTGATAGTTTTGACTGTGATAAACAAAGTAAATGACTTAAGAGTATCGCGAGATTCGTAGGTAAAATATAAAGCCAGTTTTTAATCGACGTTGTCCTCTGCGTCGCCGTCGTGGTTTCTTGAACTCCCTATTATCAGTAATGTAGGTTTAAAACACAGACAATATCAACTACGATAAAAGTAGACTGAGTAATGGGAAATAGGAGTAGCAAATATCACAGGCACATCATGGAAGGAGCATCTTTTAGAACCCCGCTCTGGTGCTAAGTAAAATTGTAGGAACTCAAGAAATAGCGCTCACTGGAGAAGGGATTTGTTACCAGGAGCTAATTTAAAGTGCCTGAACAAAAACCTGTTATCTTGATAATGGATAAACATGAACGCTAAACTTAACGAAAGAAGTCCCTCTAAACTCAAAACCAATATTGATAAAATAGAAGAAGCAAACTGTAAGGATGCTTATCATCAAGTAGGAAGTACTAAGGAGAATAGGAGAGCTTTCTCGGATAAGGATAATGCTGATTTGTGTACAAGGATAGCAGCTCACCAATTCCGAATTTGCCACACCCATAAAGTCCAGGTAATTGAGAGGCAAACCCTGGCGGAATTCACGATCTTCCTCAAATGCAATCTGTAGTGCACCTGGAATTAACTGCGACAGAAGTAAATTCAGTGTTAGTCCAAACCAATGCCATACACACTATGTCTGTATCATTGATAGAGGGTTTATATCCATTAAAATGAGACTACCTCGCTTGAAACACTGTAATTAATATTCTCAAGGACTTTTTGCACCCCTGTTGCACAGGGTAATAAAAAACTTCTGGGTTTCGCAGGGGATTTCTTGACTTGTATAGGTGCCTAAGCTCTAGCATGATCTGCTCTTTCATCTAAAGTAAATCAGCAGTAAGTTATTTTAATGATAATCACCTTTTCCATAAAATCTGTCCAGGAGTTCTTTTGATATGTGGACAATGTGATGTGCAAAGAATGGGTGTCACTTGGTGTGTCTGCCTGAAAAATAAAGAATCACAATCAATACAGTCGAACCTCTACACAACGCCCACCTTGAGCACAGAGGAAAGTGGCCATTGAAAAGAGGTGGCCGTTATGGAGAGGTAGGGGCGTAATAAGACACCTGCTTAATTAGGGATGTAACAAATACATTCAAAGTATTTCAATAAAACAGACACCAAAGAGAAACAGAGACCGACAACACGTGGTATGGATCAAGTTTCGTGACCTTCCACAATAAAAAGTGGGTTTTTGCTTTTACTGTTTGTCAGTCACTGATTAACTGGGGTTATTTTAGCAGTTGGGACGCGCTTTAGTGGCATTGCCATTGTGGAGAAATCACCGTCGTTGAAAGACTAATTTAAGTGCAACTAACGCCATTTTTTTTTTTTTTTTTTTTTTTTT